CTCGGGGGCCATGCCAGAGGAGGAGCCGGCACCCCTCCTGCTGCCCCCTCCTCCTCTTCCTTGTCCTTCTCCTCCTCTTCCTTGTCCTCTTCCTCCTCCTCCTCCTCCTCCTCCCCTTCCTCCTCCTTCTCCTCCTCCTCCTTATTTCCTTTTATTTCTCATTTCGTTTCCTTATATATAACTCCTCGCTGTCGCACCCCGAGGCTGGCTGGCTGAAAAGGCTGACGGGGCGTTTCGCTTGAGATTTCCTCATCAGTTATGATCCTGAAGGTTCAAATTTGCAACGGTTTCACCACTGGAGGGCGTTCAAAATGTTGCTCTCGCTTTGGTCCGACGCGCATTCGTCTTCAACATTCGCAACAGGTTTACGGACGGAGGGTGGTCCGTTTTCAAAATGTGACGCTCGCGTTATCGCCGCGCACATTCGTGTTAACAGTCCCGCCAGCCCTCTGGGCGACAAGGGGTCTAACGATGTCTTCCTTTCCTCTTCCACAACCCCTTCTTCCCCCTTCGGGGAAGGGTTTATCATTGTTCCCTATGAATATTCACCCCCTCCCACACCCAGCCGGCGGCCAACCCGGAACCATGCCAACCCCATGAGGGCCCTCCCCCCCTTTCAACAAAAACAATACAAAACGCATTCTGCCTCCACATTTGGAGCATGCGCGGCCGCCCCGCGACCACGTTGCATTGGTATTTTACAAGGACGGCTGGGGTGCCAGCAGATCCCACTTGCTTTCGGGGCGCATGTGGCCGACCGACTGGTCTGACACGTCAATAGCTGCTGCCTTTTCGCTTGACCGTTTCCGATGGGATTTCGAAACCTCCACGTGGCGCAAACATTGGCCAAGAAAGCTCAAAACCGGGCCCCAGAGCCCCTATATGGCTCCCAGTGGCTGGCGCACCTGGCGCGATTGGAGCATGTGGAACACTGGGCGCACGTGGAGCACGTGCCGCACCTGGCGCGCTTGGACCTCCAGGGTCTGGTGCATCTGGAACCCGTGGCGTCTGCGGACGTTCTTACGCGATATGCTGGCTCCCGGGTGTTACGTATGTGTGGGGAGGGCGGGCGGGAGCGAGCAAAACGGCTTGCGGGCTGGTGTGTAGCTTGACCTCTCCCCCTACCCCCCCCCTGGACCTGGACGGAGGGGTCGCGGGTCGTTAAACGTGCCCTTTTCGCCCAAGATGGCTCCAAGAGGGCCCCCGATGCTCCAAGGTAGCCTCCAAGATCGCTCAAGATAGCTAAGAACATGCCTACAAGAGGCCCCAAGGAGGCCACAAGACGGATCCAAGTGCTGGTGGAGACCCCTCAGGACCTCCTCGAGAAACCCAAATCCTTCAATTACTCCGACGGAATAACCCCACATAAGAATCCTCTGGGCGAATCTGGAAAAAGCCATCACCGTCGTCCTCGTGGTTGGTGAGGCGTCCTGGCTGTCTCTTCTGCGTATATTTCCTCTCGCCTTGGCGCGGGCCCCCCTTCCACTCCTTACGTTGTCCCCATCCTCGCCCCCCTGTTTGTTCCGCGCCCCGCCACCTCCTCCCCTTCCTGTTGCATGAGCGCGCATGTCGATGTTCCTCGGCGCCGTCGCCGCCACGGCCAGCACAGGCGCGTTCTCTACTGGTCACGTCGCGCAGCCGTTGGGACAACCCCGCGGGCCAGGCTGTCGGGGCAACCCCGCGAGCCGTTGGCGCGCAAGACCAAGCCGTTGGGACAACCCCGCGGGCTTCGAGCGAGGCGCAGCCGCGCTCAGGCGGAAGGCAGCACGAAGCCCAGCTCTGCCGCGAGCTGCTTCGCCTCCGCCCTGGACAAAACCGCTCTCTTGTCGAACTCCAGGAGCGCCTTCCGCAGGGACGCCGGCGGCCCGCACTCCAGGAACTCTCGCGGCGGCGGCCGCAGGATCAGCATGTTCCGCATGCACGTGGCGCGGGAGAACATGACGTAGAGGTGCAGCCACCACTGCTCGTCCGACATGCCCGTGCGGCCAGCGTCCTCGTCTCTCGCGCAGTCGATGGTGACGCCCTTGCGCAGCGTCTGGCCCTGCGACAGCGTGGAGGTCAGGTAGGACGCGTGCGTCAGGGTGAACCCCGAGCGGCGCACGCTGTGCGCCCCCGAGCTCTGCCATGTGAACTCCCTTTCGCTGGGCCTGAACATCAGCAAGCTCCGCGCCCGCGCCTCGATCTCCCGCCTGAGACTTCCTCCATATTCAAGCTTGAGGAGCCCAAAATTGACGACAGTTACAGGATTCCGATGACCCGCTCGGATTACCAACATGATCTGCGGGCCCCATAGGGAGGGGGCTCCCGCCTGAGACTTCCTCACAATTCACTCAGAGACGAAGCTCCCGCCTGAGACTTCCTCCAAATTCAGGCTTGACGAGCCCAAAGTGACGACAGTTACAAGTTTCCGATGACCCGCTCGGATTACCAACATGATCTGCGGGCCCCATAGGGAGGGGGCTCCCGCCTGAGCCTTCCTCAGAATTCACTCACAGACGAGGCTCCCGCCTGAGACTTCCTCCAAATTCAGGCTTGAGGAGCCCAAAAGTGACGACAGTTACAGGTTTCCGATGACCCGCTCGGATTACCAACATGATCTGCGGGCCCCATAGGGAGGGAGCTCCCGCCTGAGACTTCCTCCCAATTCACTCACAGACGAGGCTCCCGCCTGAGACTTCCTCCATTTTCAGGCTTGACGAGCCCAAAAGTGACGACAGTTACAGGTTTCCGATGACCCGCTCGGATTACCAACATGATCTGCGGGCCCCATAGGGAGGGGGCTCCCGCCTGAGACTTCCTCACAATTTACTCAACGATGATGAGGATGAGGATGATGAGTGGTGGTGAAGATGAGTGGTGAAGAGGATGATGATTGATTGTGGTGGTGGCGATGATGATGGCCCGATGCCGATGATGATGATGATGATGATGATGATGATGATGTTCGTGAGCGTGTGAGAGAGTGCGAGTGATGATGATGATGATGAGTATGTGAGTGACTAAGCATGTGAGAGAGCATCATCGATGATGCTGATGAGGTTGATGATGAGAGAGTGTGAGTGAGTGTGAGTGTGAGTGTGTGTGTGTGTGTGTGTTCCTGTTCCTGCGCGGGGTGTCCAGAGAAAACAAGAACCCCACTTTGGATGTGGGGAAAAACTTTAGAAACCAATGATTTTGGCCTTCTCGCCTTTACGCGTCCGATGCGCTTTTGAGGCCTCAAGATGGCCCCGAGATGGCCCATGAAAGCTCCAAGAAGGATCTACGAGGTCCCCAAGACGGCCCCAAGATGGCCCCGGAGGGGAGGAAGCAAATTTAGGACGCCCCCTCCTTTGATCGATGACCTCCAAGTTGGCCCCACGAGTCCCTCTGAAGCTCCCAGGAGAGCCCGAAGAAAGTTCCACGAGGGCCCCAAGACGCCCCCAAATAGCCCCAAGAGGACCCCAAGAACCCTCAAAGAGCCCAAGAGGGCCCCAAGAGGGCCCCAGGACGCCCCAAAAGAGCCCCAAGAGGACCCCAAGACGCCCCCCAAAAACCCATAGCTCCAAGAAGGCTTCCGATGCTCCAAAATAGCCTCCAACTTGGCTCAACAGGTTCCGCCCCCTCCTCTCTCTGCCCGATCTGTTTCACTATATGCGTCTCTGCTTTCCATTTCCCGTCAGCTCTCGTGGGCAAGGATTCTGAATGGGTTGGCGGCGATTCGCAAAGCGGAAAAACTGCAAGAGCTTCACGGATGGAGGGCGGCCCGTTCTCAAAACGTGGTCCGCATCAACGCCGCACACATTCGTTTCAAAAGTTTGCAAGAGTGTCACGGATGGAGGGCGGCTCTTTTTCAAAATGCAGCTCTCGCCTTAGCGCCGCGCAGACCCGTCGCAAAGCTTGCAAGAGCCTCGCGGATGGAGGGCGGCTCCTTTTCAAAATGTTGCTCCCGCCGTATCGCCGCTCACATTCGCCATCAGAGTTAAGAGCTTGTAGCAATTTAAACATTATCAGGTTCACGTTGAGTCGCGGTGCTGGAGTCCCAAGAATGGTGCTGGGACACGGTTCAGGACCGTCAAAACGCACTAGTAACAGTGATTCGCGGCGCTGCAGCCCCAGAAATGGCGATCTGGCGAAATTCTGGATTTGAAGCGATTGTCTTTCAACGGGGCATTTCCCGTAGTAACATGAATCCGTGCGCGTGGGAGCTTATGACGTGGGAATTCGGAGGGAGGGTTTGTTGCATTTTGTTGCAATATCGTTGATGGGACTTGGGTTTGCACTGGTCCCCCTTCCTCCTCCTCCTCCTCCTCCTCCTCCTCCTCCTCCTCGTCCTCCTCTCCTCCTCCTCCTCCTCCTCCTCCTCCCCCTCCTCCTCTTCCTCCCTTCTACCCCCTCCCCGCCTCCCCCCCAGCGTCAGCTCGGCCCGAGCCCGCGGGTTCGCTGCGAGCCCGCGCCACGGGCGCCCGCCTGCCTCGGACTCTCTGGCCCCTCCGCCTTCCCCTTCTCCGCAGTCCGCGGTTGGGTTCCAACGTGGGCCTGTTACCATAGAGAGAGGGTCACGAAGCAAACGCTGAGACACACATTCTGCCTATCAGTGCATATGCGGCCCGGCGAAGCAGGGCGGCATCAACGCGACGCCAGGGAGCGTCGTGGTCTCGAGCCTGTGGCCTGGACGCACGCCGCGCCCGACGCACGACTCCGCTGGCGATGACGGCGGCTGCTGGCGGAGCGCCGCCGCGGCCCTACCGACCCCCACCGCTCTGCGGCAGAGCGCCGCGCCCAGCAGGCCCGTGCCGAGGGGCGGGCGTCTGGACCGTCTCCTGCAAGCGTTCGCCGCGGTCGAGGGCCGCCGTGGCCAGAGCTGGGCTGCGAGCCAGGGGGGGGGGGGAAGTGAGAAGGGGCGGGCCTTCTCAGAAGGTTCGGACGTCCCCCGGACTTCTGAGAAGTTTTCTAGGCCTTCCCCGAAGACGCAGGAACCTTCTCAGAAGGCGCGGGGGCTTCTGAGAAGCCCCGCCGCCTTC